GAAAGTTTTATATTTTTAAAGAAGAGTATCTAATTTTAAGTATTAAATGTAAATTAAGTTAACAAAAAAAACTTTAAATACAAGTTTTATTATGACATTTCTTTGTGTTTAGTCTTTTTCATTTAGTTACACTATTCCAATATACTCCTATACTACTATATTCCAATATTTGTTTCATTCGGCACGCTGCTATTCAATATGCCTGTGTTTAGCAGATCGCTTTTGATAAAGCGATTCAAATGAGCAAAATTTAGAATGTGTGTTCATTTTGTAGGTCGTATAAAACATATTCGTCACAAAAGTTGATATCAGAACTTTTGTTTGTTGAAGGTGCGATCGTCATTAGATTTGTGCCTCGTTAAGAAGTGTTTTTGCTTGAAAAAATTACACGAGGAATATGCACTTGAACAAGAACTTGTCTTTACAAGTCGTTGAAATTAGGTTTTGATGACGTTATTCACGTTATTAAAAAAGTTGTTGGCACGCGGTTAAGATATCGAAATAAATTAAAATAGCCATTTAAAACGAAAACAATATACCCTTTTCCCCTACAAGTGACGGGTATACAAAATCGAGTACTTAAAAAAATTATATGTTCTAAAGTATTGGTGTTCCGATCGTTCCTACGGCAGTTATATGATATACTCGTCCGAGTAGAAAACAAGGAAGAAAGCTATAGTCAAGTGCTTCGACTATCAGGGTATCAGCTAAGGGAAAAGTAAAGCAGATGGAGATAGCAGCAAAGCTACTTATTTCAAAATTGAAGGGCGTCATACAGATCTTACCGTTATGGGCGCTTATGTTCGCAAGAGTGGGCGTGGAAAATTTTCTAAAGTCAATCAATAGGTATTGACAAATATACTTCTGTTAATATTTTTATTCTAGTTTTGGGCGGTTTGTTGGCGTCAGAGTGGGCGTGGCAATTTTATAAAATAATCTCTAGAATCTGTATGCTTAGTCCCAAATTCCGCTTCAGCGACTTTTTCCTCCATAAGAAATACATGTGTAGGAAAGAGATGGGAAAAGTCGCTACAACTCGCTGCAGCGGAAAATAGGATCGCACAAATCGATTCAGTGTTCCAATGTTTTTTTCAGTGCTTTTTACAAGTTTAGGTAATTTTTGTGCTTGGCGTTTCGGGATGTTTTGAGAAGGAACTGCATTTGAACTGCAATGACGACGTCATAGGGAAGTCGTCGGTGGTGCAGGCCCAAGGAGCCTTCCAACTTCCATCGGAACTCAGCAATTGATCTCATCTTGGAAATACATTTGCTATGCGCTTTTGTAAGGAAGTGACCAACCTCCAGCTTATGACCTGGCACCTTTTGCATCAAAACGTACATTATTTATGTAAAGAAAAAACTAATTATAGTAGCATCGACCTCCCAAAATTGTTTCTTATTGTATGTATTGTCAAAACACCGTATGCGTGGATGGTGTTATATATACCTTAAAGGGTCCAAACGGTTCTAACTTGTGAAAATTTCCCAACGCTTGCATGAATGGAAATCTCAACCTTGTTTAATTTGCTAAGAGCAATAAAATAATCATTTGGCGCTGACAACATTCCACATGCTAGAGTTCAAATCGTCTTTATCATTGTGTTGTTTACCATTTTTTTCGGAGCAACTAAATTTGCACGTTTTCTCCTTTTCAGATACAGTTTGCTTATGCCGATCAGCTGTTCGCTTAAGCGATTCTCTACAGGAATCCGCTTAAAGTTGCAACGATTTTTAAGCAGATGTGTGCTGTGGGTAATAGTACTACCCTTAAAATCGAAATGACGATAGCTTGACCTTTGATATTGATTGATATCAATATGATACGGATTTATATCAACATTTCTAATTGATATGATTTTGTATCATATATTTTTTGTGTATTTATTGTATTTAGTATGGTGTTTAAAATATTTTTTGACTGAATTGCCGCGGTCACTCTAACATTCGACGAAAAGTTTTTATACAAAAGTGAAACATTTTCATATGTGGTTTATTTTTGCAAATGGTAAGTATCTCTTGTTTAATTGTACTTACTTGATGTTTGTCTAGTTCTAATATATTTATTTATTGGACACTGTACCGTGCTTTTCCGTGCTGACTACACACAAGGCACTACACAAAGTCAAATGGCTGGCCATGATGCCGAACTGGGCAAGTTGGCGTCCACCACTTCGTTGGGAAACTTCTATCGAGGACAGAAAAAGGACTTCCTGGTGCTGATGCAAAGCTACAGGAGGCATCCGAGTACAGCGTGATCGGTCATTTATTGCTAAGTCCTGGAATTAGTTTTATAATTGATCCAAAATATATAAAAAAGAAATATTTATAGCGATCTTATGGGTTTTCAATATTTATTTGTTTACAAGATGCAAAAAAGTAAAAACAAAACTGATTAATATTGATATGTTCGAAATGTCAATTTGATATGTTCGAAAATATCAATATAATATGGCCAACATAAGAGATCAAAATTGAGACTCATAAATACCCGATTGATGACCAGTTTTGGTATTTTATTTGTTCTGTGTAGTATAACCATTTATTCTACGAGTTACGGGTATAAGCATCAATAAAAAAAAAGAAGCGGGGTGGCATTGGGATTCGAACCTGCGCCGCTTCGATGTCTAACCAAGGGCTCAACCATCTTTGCTACGGACACAGCAACCTGACCGTTGAGAAGTTCTGGAACTTAATATTTCGGTACTCCAGAGCATGCAAAAACCAATACTTATTTTTTTTAGCAAAAATGTATATTTAAAAAAATAAATGTATACTTACTTTCTTCGGGCTAGTTTCATTACCCACTACCCGTATTTATTCTTAGAAAAGGTGATGCCAGTAAATTTTTAATTGCTTTAGTTTTCTTATTTTTGAGAAAACATCGTTTCTGGTTTTTAGTCAAATTTTAGTTCATGGTAACCATTTTCTAAAAATGTCCTCGACTTAAAAAAGTAATGCTGTATTTAAAAAAATAAATTGTATTGTCGTTTTTCTAAAGTGTAGGCTATATATTCTTTTTGGTATATAAAAGCTTTACGAAAAATTGTATAAATTTTATCATTATCCAAAATTAGACAAAAATCCTTGATTTGTTTTATTTTAAATAGCCGAAAGAAAAATATTTTAAATGCATAATTTAAAATCCCAAGTCAGTACAAAAATTTTTTAGGTGTACTTTTGGTTTGGTTTGGTCTCGTCCGCTTCTCGATGACCGGACAAATGTGGCCTCGTTAGTGGCCTGGTCGGTAAAAACGAGTTAATAGAGGGCCGCAAGGACGAGTGGGTGTGGGCAAGAGATGTGGGTGTAGGGCATGGAATATGGACTGCCGAAAGCGGGTTGGACAAGGGCGCTAATTGCGTGGACATGCCAAATGTCGCACCTGTCCTGGCTAAACAGGACAAACGGCAAACTGGAGAGCAGGATGTGAGCGCAGCAAAGAGCCTGGCGGAAAAGGATCAAGGATAGGTGGCATAGCAAACAGCAGGCGCTGAAATGGCAAATAAACATTAGAGAAAATACAACAACAGCAGGGGCACATCAGGGCAATCACACGTGGCGGTATCCGTTTTGCACTTGTTCCAGGCCCTTTCTGTTCTAGAATGCATATCGAAGGAGAGGGTAAGAAAACAAACCAGCTGGTCGCAATAAAAGCGCAACACTTAAATTTCGCCGCCTTCTAATGGGCGTTCCAATGAATGGATACACGGCCAGGATAATAGCACTTGCAATGGGTTACAAAAGGTAACAAACGATAAAACAATCAATCTGAGGAAACGCTTGAATTTGAAATCAGAGGAGTGAAATAATAACAATACAAAATTAAGTTTTCAAGAACCTTAGGCCTCAGCCTTCAACTAGAAAATTTTAAGCCATATAAACTAATTATACATATTCTAAAAGTAGGAATGCAATTTACTCAATTTAGGAAAATCAAAGTTTAAATTATTACCAAGCGCTAGATTTGAAAAAATGTGTGCTTTAATTTTTAATTTTATAGGAATCGAAACATTTTCTTAAAGTATTTTTTTATGATCTTCATACTTGTTACTTGTAGAGTAAAAGGGTATATTGTATGCAGGGAAAAGTATGTAACAGGTAGAAGTAAGCGTCTCCGACCTCAAAAAGTATATATTTTCTTGATCAGGATCACTAGTCGAGTCGATCTAGTAATGCCCGTCTGTCTGTGTGAACGCTGTGATCTCGGAAACTATAAGACCTACACGGTTCAAATTTCAAATTTAGATTCCTTATCTTTGTACGCAGCAAAGGTTTGTTAAGCGAATATGCCACGCCCAGTCTAACGCCCACAAGCCCCCCAAAAACTGTGGCTCTGATATATATCAGTTTCATAAATACATATCGATTGAGATCAACAAAAGACCACACACACTCAAACGCCCACCAACCACCCAAAATTTTCAAATATTCCATTTTTTAATAAATTTTATATTATTCCGCTTGCCGAAAACTGTTAGGATCGGACCATTAGTTAAAAAGTGACATGTTAGTTAATAATGACCTTACGCCCGTATCTGGCAATTACATCGTCAAAAGATAGAGAAAAGTAGCCAGTAGCCAGTAGATTAAAGTGTAAAATGTAAGGTAGTTTAAAGTATAAGCATCTTCACCTCTATTCGAGGGTATATTTATTTTGATGTTGGTTAGCTGAGTAGCAGGTGATGATAGCCTATAGGCACTCGACAAAAGCGCACTCTCTTGTGAACATATTGAGTTGGAAATAAATCAAATTAGTTTTTTTAAAATGCTAGTCTTTGAAATAAATGTCTATGGACATCAAATATTGGTCCCGGACTCAGTCGCTTTACCGGTTACCAAATATTTTTTTTCTTGGTTGTTCGGAAATGAGCCAATAGAATCAGGCACATTTATATTGCCAGAAAATGTGCCAATGTAATCCGACTATTGAAGAAACTTCGAGTAAGAAAGTTCGAGCTATGAAAGTTTGACCGAATTTCCATTTTTTGTTTTTCTCTCGGTCATTTGCTTTTTATTAATTTTTATCTTATCTTAATTTTTACTAGTTCTTTATGTAGCTTATACGAGTAAATGTACTTATATACTTTTTCATTTTATACAACCGCTAGTGCTCGCGGCTTGGAGTGGTTGGCAAACAATTACATTGCCGCCGGATTGGAAAGTAATCAAAGCTGGACACGAAGCCCGAGCCTTCACCCTGGATGTTTGCGCTACTTTTGATGGGGGTTGGTGGCTGATGGTGGTCGAATTTAGGGGGTGGCTTAGTGAGCTAAGCCTGGAACTCGTTCTGCTCCTCCTCGTGGGTCGCGACCTTTGGCCTGCCGTAGGGAAGCAGCTGTAGGGGTCGATCAGCCGGGACCGTGGGCTGTAGGCTGGGCAGGGGTATTAGAACCTGACCTGTTCTTTTAAGTGGACTGCTTTCCCTACTGCTTAGGATCTCTTTTCTCAGGATGAGGTCCCTCTCTGTGATTCTGCCCAGAGCCCTTTCCCGTTGCTCCTCCTGCCAGTGGACATTCCGCTTCCCGGCGTCCCTTCCCGCACTCGATGCCGTAGGTGCCATGGGTCCAGAACTTCCGTCCCTGTTGGGACTAAAACACAGACTTTGGATACTGATGCCACTGGATAGTCCGTGGGGACAGAGTCGAAAATGGCTGCTGATGTCCGGAAGACTTCGACAGCTGCTGAAACGGCTGCCCCCGGTGTTCGTGGTGGTCTGGGCGGAACTCGGCTCCGGCCGGGCAAACAGCTCCATCACACTCGGCGGCTGGGCTCCCTTGGGCTCCGACCTTAGTCGGTGCAGTGTGATGCAGAACTCATGGAATCCGTGCACCGTGTGATAGTTATCCGGCTGATCCTTGAGGCTTGCCAGGGCCATGTCAGAGCCCCCAGTTCCAGGGTGCAAGACGGCGTGGCAATCCATTCCCGGCGACCAAGTTCGCTGGTAGTGCGGAGCCTCAACATCCAGTTGCGACTCGTCCAGGCGATCTATTGCGCTCTGCAGCGCAGGATCTAGGAGCCCCACCTCGCGGGCAGTGCGTACGTCGTGGCGCCAAAACTGCTGATGCCGTTGAACTGCCGGAGCCACCTCCTTAATCCTTAGGACCACCACGCCCATTAGCCAGACGCACATTATATTTATGAGAGTCAAGGCCATGCTGACAGTTGCGTAAATCAACAGTTCCACGGAAAGTTGCGGGGAGTACGACCTGTGCTTCATCAGACTTACCAGGAGCTCGTGATCGGCTGGCAGTAAATGGGATCCAATGGCCAGGGCCCAGAGCAGTCCGGCGTTCACAGCAGGCGGCAGTAGGGAAGCCGAGATGGCCACGCCCACTAGGGACCCCGTATTGCCTCCCAAAACCGCAATGGCTCCTGCCGCCCCCGAAGCCAGGGCAGTGCAAACTCCGATGGCCAGGGAGTGTGTGTCACATCGGGAGACGATCTCCTCCGTAAGACCCGTGGAAATGGCGAAGAAATGGCCGAAGCCACAGACTATGGCCCCGAAAAAGAATCCTATGGCAACGGACACGGCTATGCCCACGAGTTCGTTCTTCAGGCCCAACCACCGTAGCTCCCGGTCGCCAATCACCGAACCAAATATGGCCGCAATAATGGGACCCATTAGCGGGGAGATCAGCATGGAGCTGGAGAGGAACAGGAAGCTATTCTCGACGAGACCGACGCAGGAGAGCAGGGCGGCTGCCATCAACAGCACTACGAAGTCAAAGGTCAATGTGGCATCCCGACGCACCTGTCGCACTACCTGGTTAACGTTCAGTCTACACCTCACCGAGTCCATAAAGCTCTGCCAGCCCTGGCTTTGCTCCCGACCCTGATCCACGAAATCGCCATGGCCTTGGCTAGGGTTCTGGGGGCTGGGCTTAGCCCGGGTTTCCAGGCAGGTGAGGGCGGAAACATGTGTGCCAGGTCTTTCCCCAACGCCCCAGTCCTGCAGGGTGCACAGCAGTCTTTCATAGCGTTCATCCTGCAGGAGGTCAAACCGGGCCTGGAGCTGCTTTCCCGTGACGTCGTGCGACCAGAAGACGTCCTCCAGTCGCAGTTCCTCCGCTATGGCCCTTAGCAGCTGCTCCAGGGAGGCATCCTCCCTAAGGTCAGGGAGCTGCAGAGCCCTGCTGAGGTACCTTGGAGCAGGGGCTGTGTGGATCGCAGGCGGCACGGCCTCACAACCATTGCTCCCGGCTATTTGACCCAATCGCCAACAGCGCTCGCACACCTCGCAGCTGGACACTTCCGAGTCCTTGCCCCTCATGCAGCCACCGCAACTGGAGCAACATTGGGTGCTGGCCAATGGCTTTGGGTTAATCCTCAGCTCCTCCGCTTCGGTGGGCACCGTGACGACCACGCAGACGGCGGCGCTCATGGGGACAGGTTCAGGTTCCCTCCTTTGTCTCGCCTGCAATCCTAAATCGCGAATCTGAAGTTTGAAGTCGGACTTTCGTGTGGGTGTGTGAAAAGGAACAGAAACAGAAGTGATCTGTTTCGATGGATCTCTGTTGGACTACTGGGTTCAGTTTATAAACACCACCGTGAAACCTTTCCGATGGTACATAGCTTACTATAGTAATAAGTTATTATTACAACGAACAATAGCAAACCTGTTTCATCTGGATTCGTGATTTAATTGCAAACGTTGGCGTTAAGTATTATGTTTTACTAGGGGGTCACAGTAATCTTTTCCAACTAAAGTCAGCTATGGTTATAGTTGATTAACTATCAAAAATAGTTATCCTAACATAAATCTTCCACACAAAAGGTTACAAGTAAGGAAGACAACTTGGTTGTGTGGTTGTTACCGAAAACTCAATATAACGGTTCTTGTATTATTATGGCATTAATTTTTCGATCCTTCTTTTGGCAGTTTTATAATCCTGCACTCCGATTTTTATTACAAAAATAGTGATTCTGAAATACTAAACCAATTCCATATACCGGAGAAGAAGAGAATATGATCACAAATAACTAAGCTATAGTTATTTTCCTATATTTTCCTATAAATTATCCGATCGTTCTTAATGCAGCTATATGATATAATCGTCCGATTTCTTTGTAAATATCAAAAGAATTATATTCCTGCGAGTAGAAGTTAATATGTCAATAAACACCGATTATTTTTTTGATTACCTATGATTGAATATAACAATGTTGTCCGTTTCGACTCGTTCCGACTTATATACTACCTGCAATATAAGTTAAGGTTTAATCGCGATAGCTTTAAAACTGGGAGACTAATTCGCAAAAAAAATTGCTAAAAGGACGGACAGACGAACATGGCTTGATCGACTCGCCTAGTGATGCTGATCAAGAATATACTTTATGGGGTCGCAAACTTCTGACTGAAATCGTTCACCAGAGACGGGTAGGGTAACTTAAATAAGAAAAGCTCTTTCGCTGAGATCCTTATTAAATCCCGATCTAAGGTAAACTATATACTCCCTTGGCACAGTTTATAAATATAATTCAGTGGCCAGGATATCTACCACTAAAGTAGTTCTTCAGTAGGTTATCCGGAAAACCTTTACGCCCCGCCTAATTTCCGACTAAGCCAAAACTCACATCAAAACAACGGACATGTCCGTTGCAACATCCTGATGACGAGGACGCTCTTGCGATGATGGAGATGATGATGATGGACACTGCGGCAGATGCACGTTTTATCCTGTTTGCACGCGACTGTGGATGCCCCAGCTCCGGGATCCCACTACCCCAGTCAGCCCACAAAAATCCCACCCCTGTGTCAACATATTCCCGGCGCTTCTGGCTGCGTTTGTTTGCATACGCGGCTGCTTTGTGAAACACCCCGCTCCTCTAAAACCGCCCCTTTTGCCGCATAATCGAAACAACTACAGTAACTCTCGATTAAAAAAAATTAAAAAAAGGGGCACAGCCCGAAGGTGCAAAGCAGCCAAAATGTCAACAATCTGCAACAGCTATGAAATATTATGAGGCTTTGTGGGTGGAAAAGTGTGGAAACTGCTGGCGTTTCGGCAGTTATAATGCACCAGACGAAAGTCGCACGAAAAACGCATGAAAAACGTACCAAAAAGCTGCAAAACCTCCAAACAAACACACACGGATTTTCAGATACCAACACACAGATGCACTGACCCACACATAAGTGGTCAGGCATACTTCCTCCTCCCCGGGGTTATACTCTATCAAAGGGCAAGAGTTATATATTTAAGTTATCTTCTTATATGTTTTAAGCCCTTTTTTATTATCTTCAAAATTATATGGTTTTAACTTTTTATTCAATATCAGTATTACTAATTTAGCTTTGCCAGTTCATTTGCTTTGAATTTTTCTTGCTTAATATTTTGCTAACAAAGTTATAAATAAAAAACTCTATGAGCAGGAGAGCAAGAAGTAAGTTAAGTAGGTACAAAAATATAGTTGATTTGTTTTAATCTAAAGTAATTTACCATGTTCAGAATGTAATTCACGCCTTTAAAGCGTATTTAACGCGTAGTACTTCTCTCTTTGTTCGAAAGCGCACTTTTTTTGTGAATTGCGGACACCGAATTCCCCGGTGTCCATTATCTGCGAAGTTTTTTATACTGCTCTGTGATACGAACGAGTTTTCCATCTGCCATTTTGCAGTTGCTACTCATATGAAGGTACACCGCAATAACTTATTGATGCCACTAAAATAAACAAGTCAAAATAATCTAGTTTTCAAGACCAATAACACTAGTTTACAAAACAACATTAGAAAGGAGGATGATGGTAGTTCCTGGTAGAGTTGGACCCCTACACACAAACAAATCTGTTGGTAAAATTGACAAATATAAAAGTAAAGCGCTCCCCAACCATCGAATTGTCAATATAACCCATCAAATAGTTACTATTACGTAATTCGTAAACCAAAGGGTTACTATAAAAAAAAGTTTGGAAGTATGTTAAAGACTTTAGATAATATATATTTCAGGTTAAGTCTTTACTTTTCAGAGTATTACTTGGGCGTCTAGGTGTACGAGGCGCTAGACCCATGTGGGAATTCTGAACAATACATTGGATAAAATCTGAAAAATTATTATTGCAATCTTTTGTGTGGAAGACTAGGATAACTATTTTTGATAGTTAATAAACTTTTTACTATTGCAATACACACACATCACGTGAATGTAACTATGTTAATAGTGGCTTATCTATTAAATAGTAAAAAAAGCAAAAACAAATACATAAAAAAAAATGTTAGTAGAAAAGTAAAATTTTTTTTAGCATCTAAGCTATCTGCATTAATCAACCGAAGTAAAAATTTTTTTTTTTGATATGTTTTTTTAAAGATTTATTAAAGAAATTTTTTTGGTATCCGAGCTTTAAGTTATATTTAGAGCTGAGCCTAACCAACTTAGATGATATATGTTTTAGTTACCCTTTGATTTAGACGAAGAAATGAAGTGGAATACATTGAGTATATTGTGAGCTACGACTCGGCAAACTTAAAACAAACAAAAACAAGGAAGAACGCTATAATCGAGTACCTCGACTATCAGATACCCGTTACTCAGCTAAATAGAGATATGCAAGCAGCAAAGCGAGATTAAAATGCGCCACCTACCGGCGGTATACAGATTTAAGCGTTATGGGCGTTAGAGTGGGCGTGGCAAATTTTTTTTTGGATCAATCGACAGGTATTTACGAGACCAATACATTTCAGTTAAAATTTTTTATCTAGCATGAAAATTGTGGGCGTCGCAAGTTTTTGCGGTTTGTGGGCGTTAAAGTGGGCGTGGCAAACTTTTTTTTGGTCAATCGATAGGTATTGATGAGAACATTACATTTCAGCTAAAATTTTTATTCTAGCATCAAAACTGTAGGAGCCACAGTTTTGGGCGGTTTGTGGGCGTTAGAGTGGGCGTGGCACTCTACTGAAACAAACTTGCGCTGCGTAAGAAGCTCAGGAATCTGCACGCCAAATCTCAATAGCCTAGCTCTCATAGTTTCTGAGATCTCAGCGTTCATCCGGACGGACAGACAGACGGACAGACGGACATGGCTAGATCGACTCGGCTAGTGATCCTGATCAAGAATATATAGACTTTATGGGGTCGGAAACGCTTCCTTCTGCCTGTTACATACTTTCCGACGAATCTAGTATACCCTTTTACTCTACGAGTAACGGGTATAATAATAAAATGTATCAACGATACACAAATATATAGTTGAGTGGTAACCAAGTCTAGAATTACACATTCTGCCTAGTTAGTGACAATATTTAGAGAAGGTCTCTAGTAAAATTAATTTTGTGAGGAATACATTTTACCTAGATCCGACATATTTTTAGATATTTTCTCGGTGTGTAGCGATGCATGTGTGTCCGTCGAGATCAAGCGTCAAAATTACATTGTTGGCATACGCTGCCTTTACCCGGCCCCAATTTTTGTGTGCCCCTTGCAACCCAGCACTGCCACACCTACCATCCCCTTTATCTGCCACATACACCCCCTTTTCAGCATTCTCAGGCTTGTTCTGTTTGTTGGTGTTGCGGCTCCGCCCCTGTTGCTTGGAATCCTTGCCATTGTCTGAACAGTTGTGTTTTTTTGGGTGTTGATTTTTGGCCATTTTTTTCCCCACCCGACGACTTTCCGCAGAATGTGTGGTCGGGTGGAATGAGTAGGGCCTGGAAAATCCAAATGGGTGGGTGAAAAATCCTTGGTTCAGAGGGGTAGAGGACACAGGACACAGGAGAAGCGTTGATTGTTGCAATTTCTCGTTAAATTGAATTCGCTCGTTCGATGCGAGAGCCCTGGGATTCGAAGTGCGGGCAGAATTGTGGATGGGAAATTGGCGGTGGAAAAGCGGCGAGTAAAATTGGGTGGCAAACAAGGTCCTGCAAGCTGCACTGCTTATTTATGACAAGTGGCCAGAGACAAGGGGGCGCGTGGCTTTTCCGACCGGACAACGGAAAACGAATGAACGCGACGACGCATTATGAGATACCTGGGCTTTGGTTTTTCCCCAAAACGACCCAAAACACAGCAGGCCCAACACGCTTGTTTCCCCCTTTCCCCCATTTTCCAGTCGCCTCATCCACTTTTCGCTGGACTCTTCTCCGGACAGCTTTTATCCTCAATTAAAACACCGAACCTCGAAAGTGACGGCTGCAAATAATCCAAATGACCCGGGGACAAAAGACTATCCAAAATGTTAATTTGCACGGAGGGAAAATGTTTCTTTTAAGTTCAGAATTGAGGTAATTGAGGCTCGTTAATATTGACCATTTTAAATATCCATCACAAATAGCCATCTCTTCGTTGCTCAGTTAAATAAGTATCGCTCACTGTTCGAAAAATAATCACCATGAGTGTGGAATAATATTATGAAAAAATTCAGAAATGATAATTGCAAATTCACCACATAAATTCAACATGAAAATACATTACTTTTATCCAAAATGTTGGGGGACTTTCCAAAATGAAATGTTTGTCCCTTTGTTTGTGGGCTTGTATAAATCCCTTTTTGGTTTTAGGGTCTTGGGGACTTTATG